CTCAGATGGAACTTTCATACTGCCTAGACAAAGGCCTTTCACTAAACAAACGTGATGTGAAAAGAATATAACACTAGAAGTATGAGCCTTTCTGCCCAAAAGCACTTCACATTTAATGTTTTTTGACTTCCTTTTAAAGCAAGCTGGGCTCTGCTGCAAGCTGGTTCCAGAATGAGAGAAGATGTGTGTGTGTGTGTGTGTGTGTGTGGGTGTGTGTGTGTATGTTTCTGTTCTCCTCTAGAACAATAGTAAAGCTAACATGCTACACTAATTGTTGCACTGCACATTTTTCGTTAAGGGGAAGTGTTATCTTTTATTTCGGTAACCGGCAAAACCCTTAACAGAACAGGGTGGTGGGTTGTGTGAATGTGTGGGTGTGTTGTACTTGTTTATGTTATCCAATTGGGACCGTTTTTTGGTATATTTATCAACTTTCTGAGGACCAACAGGCCTTGTGGGGACTAAAGACTTGTCATAATGTGGTGAACCCCACGGTGGTGAAACTGCGGTAATTCTCTTCCTGGACAGTTTCTGAGCAGGAAGTCTTGGTGTGTAAATCTGTCAGAGCAGAGACAAAATTAATGTGCTGTCTGTAAGGACAAGTAAACCAAAGCTGTGCCTGCAGCTTGAGGTGTATTCCTCAGGTAAAAGTTGTGGTACTGTTTCTTCATGAAAATGAAAGATAAGCTGCTTGACCCATGGAGATAAAAAAAAAAAAAGATTCACAGGCTTAATATCTTTCCATCCCTAAGCACCAGGCATTTTATTGCCTAGTTACTTTACTGGAGCAGCAAATAAACAGAAGGTACCCAGTGGGGATTTGGTGAACGCTGGGGGTAATAACAGAAAACCTTAAATAGGCTGTTCATTATTGCACTTCACATCAGAGGAAATCATATAAATCATAAATATTGCCAAACAAATTTTAGTTAACCAGAGCTTAAGTCTTGACCGGTCTTGCCCTACAATTCTAAGACTTTAATGTTCCAGACCGAGACAAGACCAGGTATGCAGTGGAGTCCGAGACATGACCGGGTCTCTCAAAAAGTGTTATCTCAACCATGACTGGTCTTGATTACTCAAAATTGGCTTTCCAGAGCTTGAACTTTACTAAAAATTCAGCACCAAGAATAAAATATAAACTAATTTTCCTTATTGAAAATAAACATATATCTTTCATAATTGCTAAGATCTAAAACATGATTAT